GGATGATATATTGATATTACGTGACAGTCATGAAATGCATATAATACCACATGTTATGAATTCCACACACATACTTAAATAAACGTAATGATGCAAATTATATATATCAAATGCATGAATGATAAAATATGCAAATGATATACTGAAATGCATACAAAACCCAAAAACTAGGCTACCGCATCCCCTGCCTAGCATAGGGGGGGGAAGTCAACGTAATTTTTTAATAATCAACAAACACATGAAGTGAACTCTAAAAAAAAAAGTTAACTCTATCAGATCCAGTTCGAAGTGGCCAACACACAAGTCACTGAATGCGCCAAAGAACCTTTGAGAAATGAGAGAACGAACCTTCTTTTGAAATTGACAGACATGCACTGTTATGTCAGATGTTTTAGTTTTATTGATATGTGTCATATGGGGCACAACAGTTATGGTTAGTGAAATCATCATTCCGTTCTTGACATGGTATGACCTAGGTTAGGATCCTGTGGGATCCTGTTCCTCTCATCCACGTCCGTAGTGCCCGAGCCTGTTCCGTACCCTAGTGCCCGTTACGAGCGTACTGTCCCCTAACACCTATTGCGCTCGTCTCTCTCATGCCCTAGCGCTCGCTGCGCCTGCCGTCGCGTCGCCCCTGCTGTACCGTCCCGTCGCGTTGCCCCTGCTGTCCCGTCGCCCCTGCTGTCACGTCGCCCCTGCTGTCCCGTCGCCCCTGCTGTCCCGTCGCCCCTGCTGTCCCGTAGCCCCTGCTGTCTCGTCGCCCCTGCTATTCCGTCGCGTCGCCCCTGCTGTCCCGTCACGTCGCCCCTGCTGTCCCGTCGCGTCGCGTCCGTCCCGTCCCATCGCATGCGCCGCGCCTGTCCATCCCGCCGCGTCGCGCCGTCCGTCCTGTCCCATCCCGCTGCGTTGCGCTGTCCGTCCGCATCGCGCTGCCCGTCCCGTCCCGCCGCGTCGCGCCTGCCCTTCTTTTCCGGTCGCGTCGCACTGCCCGTCCCATCACGTCGCGCTACCCCTGCCCGTAGTGCGGCGCAATTCTAGTCCCGCCGTGTCGCACCCTACCCTGCGTTCCGTAGCGCCCTAGGCCTCCAACTCTGCCAGTCACGCCCTAAGCCGCTCTAAGTGTTTAGGGTTTTGGCAGAAGCACTTCTCACCTCTTTGCTTCTGCTATGGTGACCCCTAGGGTCCTGCGCTTTGACGCCAAGGGTAGGCCGCTCGAGTTCTCGGTCTGCTCCTGCGTGCGCGCCTTTTAGAGAGTCTGGTTCAGACAAATAAGTCTCTATGGGCGCATGCTTCCGGCGACCTTCCTAAGCCCGACGACCTTGCACTCTTAGGCGCTGACCCAAGTAGTGCAGACAGCAACCGTTATGCCTGCTAGTGTGCTGACATGACAGCGTGGAAGTCGCGTGACGCTGCGGCCAGCATCGCCCTCAGCAGCCTCCTCCCTGAGTCCGAGGAGGCCACTTCATTCAGGTTCGCACAGCTAGTGAGTTCCTGACTGCGATCAAGGCCCGCTACGCTACTCCCGCCACTGTCTCTCTTGGTCGCTTGTTCCTCCTGTTCCTATTTCCTGACCTCGCCTCGTTTGAGCGCACTGCTGACTCGATCACTCATCTGCGTTCGCTCGATTCTAGCTACCACGCTGCTAGCACTGACGCACAGCTTGCACTGCTCCCTCCCCCTATGGTGGTTACTATTTCATCGCCACTAGCCTCCTTGACCGCCTTGTCTCAGTTCGTGACGCGCTTCTTCTAAAGCACCCTAGCGAGCTCACTATCGAGGTCCTTGAGTCCACCCTTAAGGACGTCCAGAGCAACCTCCGATTGGTAGCCTCTGCCTCTGGTGCTGTGCCCCCTCCACTGTTTCCCGGGTGCACTGTCCCTCAGCTTCCCACCTTTACTGCCTCCCTTGCCACTGCCATTGTTGATGTGACCACAGCTGCTATTACGACTGGTGTCAGGACGTCCACCCTCCCTGCACCTATCTCGTTCAGACACATGCTCGCCGAGGCCTCCCCTGTGGCCACACCCACCCACTGGGTCAGTGCTTTGCTCAGCTCACTGACACACTTTGTGCGGCCTACGGCGTTGGCGACCCTGCCCCTGACTGGCTTCCCCTTGTTCAGACGTACGGCCCTGCTCTATGGGGCATGTCGGCTTCTCAGTCGCTTGATCTCTTAGGAATTTCTCATGCTATGTATGCTGTTGTTGACTCTAGTGCTTCTGACTTTGTTTACTCGAGTGTTGTTAGCTTAGGTGCTAGTGTTGCTGAGGTGCCTATTGCTAGCGTAGGTACTTGTGTAGACACTAGTCTAGGTGCTACTCCGGAGGTCACTTCGCTGTCTTTCACTCTGGACTCCGGAGCTTCGCACTGTTTCTTCTGCGACCACACGACGCTTACTCCGCTTCCTTCGCCGGTCTCTGTAGCACTGGCATTGCTCGCTACACTACTACGCTCCTGTGCCCATCAGTTCCCTCGGATTTCCTGACGGGCTTCCACTTCCCCTCGTTCTCCAGGAACTTGGTGGGTGTGAGGCCGCTCGTGAGTAGTCACGTGGGTGTGTGGATTGAGCCTTCTGGCGAGACTGCGGTTTGTGTCGAGGGGGACACGTACGGGCCTCTGGCATCGCTAAGCCGGGCTCTGGTCTCTACACAGTTCACAATGGCTCCCGAGGGGAGCAGCAGCAGCAGCAGGCGCAGCCACAGCAGCAGCAGCTACTGCCCCCGACCACTGTCACTGCCCCCCATCAGGTTCCCCCGTCTCACCAGGTTGGCGTGTCTCACCAGGTAGCAGTGTCTGGTCAAGTTCCCGTGTCTGGTCCAATTCATGTGTCTTGCTCCTGCTGGTCACTTGCTCACCCCACCGTTCTGTGGCACCACCGCTCAGGGCACCTGTCCATTCCTCGCCTACGCGCTATGTCTAGTCAGCGTCTTGTCTTATTCCTCCCGCGAGTCTTGCCATCGCTTCCGCCTTCGCTTGCATCACCTTGTGGTCCCTGCGTCGAGGGTCGGTTGCGCGCCACCCCTCACTCCTCCTCCCTTCGTCCGGCCACCGAGCCCTTCGAGACTCTCCACTTGGATGCCTGGGGCCCCGCCGCTCGCCCTGGCCCTGAGCAAGAGAGTTTCTTTCTGGTGGTCATTGACGACTACTCCCGCTACACCACAGTGTTCCCCCCGGCGAAGAAGTCCCAAGTGTGAGAGTACGCCGACGTTCGACATATTTCTCATTTCCAAAATTTTACTCTATCTTATTCTCCTTATTTTCCTCTTTCATTTGCACTTTATTTCACCTCAATCGGACTACATTATACGGCACCGACAGCACAGACGGTGGTGTACAAGGCGTAATCTTGCCATAATCCAATGTGCCAATGGGCTTGCGTGCTTATGCGCACTTGTGATATCTATCCTAGAAGAGCGTGTTCCCGAAGGTTCGGATTATCTTTTGTGTCTATATATTTCTGAGTATAAATACGCCTTGTACTCACCTTTAGTGCAACATTCTCGAGTGGAAATTCAATCCTGTGACACTGCGTAATCAGAGCCGTTTTCACTCGCGGAGTTTCAGCTAAGCAGCGCGCTCAAGAAATTCCTGCTTCGAAAAACCGCCGGGGGCGACGAATTCGGCGCCGACGCTGGTAAGCACCAGATTCCGTGTTTTTTTAATAACCCCCATCGCGCTTTTTTTTGAACAGGATCGTGAGTCCAATTGTTGGCGAATTTGTTTGCGACATAGCGACGACAATCGCGAATTGTCGGGACTAATATCGAGCGGTGCAGAAGTAGCGAGACCGACGCGCGACGGATCTAACGACTTCGGGTGAAAGTGCGCGTCATGGCGAAAATTGCGACAGAAGCAGAATCGATCGTGACTTCGCAGCAGTCGCGAAAATTTCCCAAGGCCCAAGAAATTCAAGCCCCCAACACCTTTGATGGGGAAAACGACGCTAGGCGCTGGCTTTTGGCGATCGAAAATTATTTTGCCGCCATTGGATGGACAACACCAGCACTCGACAGAAACAGAATTAATTTTGCAGCAACACTACTGCGAGGACCAGCAATTGAATGGATAAGCGGAAGCGGTTTATTAAACCAAGGTGAAGCGACGTGGCTGCAGTTCAGAGAAGGATTACTACAATGTTTTGAGCCGATTCGTGCAGCGTTAATCGCCCGAGACAAAATACATCGTCATCGACAAAATCCCAGAATTAGCTCGTCCATGTGCATGAAAGGTCTCCCCTCCTCTCCTCTCCTCTCCTCTCCTCCACACATCCAGCGAGATGGCCTTCGCGGCCCAAGCTTCCCGCCCCTTAGGCAACGCAGCTAGTCTAACCCTAGGCCGACTAGGCCAGTTCCTCCTACACGACTCAGCTACGTTTTCAGGTAAGCTTTCTCTCACTCTCTCTTGCTCATTACAATTTTCGTTTTCCCGCCCACTCTCGGTCACCTCTCGCACAGCTCTTCGCTCTGCTCTCCCTGCCGCACCAAGCCTCGTCAAGCTCCTAAGTTTTAGGCGCCCCCGCTCCATTCAATCTTATCCTTCCGCTGCCACCTCCGGCTCCGCCATTAAAATGGCTTGGAAGCTCGGCGGGCTGCCTAGGCCGCCAGTTCCAACTTTCACGCTCTCGCGTTCGGACCTTCGAAAAAGGTCCCTGGTTTCGGGTCGCCGACTAGGCACCCATTCCTATTTCCGTTCCTCAATCTCCTCGCCATTGCGCCTTGACTTAGGGTCAACCCTAAGGCTGTCTCTCTGCCAACCCTGCCTTTCCTGGTACTCTCCCTCATACCCGCCCCCCCCCAAGTCCGCCCCCACGCTCTCCCCGTAGTCACCCGACCCCATGGTCGCCTGCCTGTCGCCTCCCTTTGCTTCCTCGCCTCCCTCACACCCTTAATGTCTCTTCAGTCTGGTCGCTCGCTTGCTCTTTATTTAAAGGACCCTTACCCTCTCCACTCTATCATTCCACACCTCGCAATCATCTTCGTTTCTCTCTCTCTCCTTGCAACATGGCTGAGCAGACTTATAACTCGGATATGACCATGTCCCCTGCCGAAGAGGAGGCCCTCGGTGCCTCCGGGAAAGACCTCGCGGTTGACGATATGCCCGAAGGCATGTTCCACCACCTCGCCGAACCCGCCGACCTCCCCGCCGCGAAGAAACCGTGCATGGATCCCGTCTCCAGGAACGCCCCCAATTCTTCCCCCTCCACCTCCTCCGGCTCGGCTCCGGCGATGCCTGCTTACTCTCCCGCGCCCCTCGCAGCTGCCGCTCTCACTGCTCCCCGATTGGCCTGGTGCCTACGCAGGCAGCAACTGCTGCAGCAGCTCCCAACACCTCGGCCACCCGCGCAACCGCCTACGCGTCCGTCGCCTCAGCCTCCATCCTGGCTCCAGCGTAGCCCGCCTTGCTCTTCGCCTCGCCCACTCCGGGTGCTCCCCCCCCCCCCAATCTGCGGCGCGCTCGCACGGACGCCGCCTCCCCGATGCTTTTCCCCCTACGTCGCCGCATGGTAGTCACTGTCCTCCTCCCGGAAGCCGGGCTGGAGTCGCACCGATCTGAAATTCTCGCTGGTGTTAATGCGCAGCTGTGTGGCTTTATGTTTGCTTCTGGCATTATCCATTCCGTCGAGCAGACCGTTGGAGACCCCTACCGTGTGGCCCGCCGTGTGTATGGCCGCCTGCTCTTCTCATGGCCGTCGCAGGAAGATGCGGCGGCCTTCCGCAAGCTCTTTCCCCTCACCCTCAAAGTCTCCAACTCCTGCCCCCTTCTGCTCAAGGTGTTCGAGGACAGGTTTGCAGCCTTCACTGCTGCCAAGGATGCCGGCGCACCCACCCTGTCTATCCGCAACGTCCCTTTGGATTTCGATCCAGAGGACATCCGCGCCTACCCCCTCGGCTCCACCGAACCTGATGGCTCGCACTGGCCGGCGGATTTGACGGACTTTCACCGCGCTTTGGACCCCTACGAGGACACGTATATCACTCACCTTGTAGGACTTCCAGTCGCCAACCCCAATGACCCGGATTTCGAGCGCATCCCATCCGAAATCCCGCTGGAGGAGAACAAACCTCCCATGCTGCTCAACTTTTCCAGCCACGTGTGCGCACTGTGCGCCAACAACCACCGCGCGGCTGACCATGAGGCTTTTGCAGCCCGCCGTCGGCAGCGCCTCACGAACCGGAACGTGATTTCAGTCGCGCAGCTGCAGAAAGCTAACGGTACGCCCCTCGCATATCCCTCCAGATTTTGCTATTCCACCTTTCCTTTGCCTTTCCGCTCTGGCTCCCTTGCTTTCACAATTCTACCATCCATCTCGTCGTCTCTCTCCCCCTGCTATACTTATTCCCCGCTCTCCCAGCGCTCCAGCTCCCCCTCACCCCACTCTACTCCCTTACTGCCCCACCCCCCGCTTTTCTCACGGCGGCTGGGCGTCCTCGAACACTTACGCCCACCCCCCTCCTTCACTCTGCCCCTGCCTACCCTTTGCCCCGCAGTCAACACACCCTCCCGGATCTCTCACCCCCCCCCTGTCTCCTCAGCAGCCGATCCCCTGCACAGCCACGAGCTTCCCCCACCCGCTCAACCCCCCCCTACCCCTGCATCTCCCCACTCTCTACCTGTGCAGCCCCACCCCTTGGGACCCATCCCCCACCTCGGGCCAGGGCTTTGGCCCTTTGCTCCCCATTGTACCCACCCCACCCCTCTTCTCACCCCCCACTCCTGCCCCCCCCTGCCAACAACCTCCCCAACAGGAACCCTCCGCTGCCTCTTCCCTCTTTCCCCGTCTGCACTCTCACCACCCTCCTCCCCTATAGCCCTCAGCTCTCCCTGTCCCCTATATGGCTGGGCCTTCTTCCATCCTTGCTCCCCTCCTGGCTGCCCCCCCCCTTTTCGAATGCTCTCCCCCATGCAGGCAACATCCTGGGGAACCACGCCGCGCCGACCACTTTCCGCAACGATCCCGGCCTTCTCTACGTCGGGCTGGACGACAAGGTCGAGACCTGGACATGCGCACTCTGCGATTTCACCTGCGGCGCTGCCCTGGACAGCGCCATGGTCCACATTCAATCCGCTATGCACACCTCCCGCGTGAAGGCTATGGCCCACCGCCCGGCAGCCAAGGAGGCTTTCGGCCCCTGGAGCGCGCAGAAGCCTTCAGTGGCTGCCTTCCTTCGTGGCTGAATCTAGCACCCTTACATGAACACCTTGGTAGAGGATTTCTCTTAGCACCATTTTGGTGGTACCCCTTATTGGTCCCCAATGTAGGGTATGACTTTCTAGCTTACTCGTGTGCAAGTGTACCCATCATTATTAAAACCCAGCGCGTACCAAGGTCGACCTGTGCCCCCCTCTCTAAACCTAATCAATCAGCAGTACAGCTGTCGCACAAAGTTATGCCCCAACTAACATGCCAATATATCCATACCCCCACCTCTCGCTTTAGCCTGCCCACCCTCCTTTGCAAGAGACTAGGCAAGCCCCACACGCCCTGGCCCCACCCCGAGCCCTCAAAGGGTTTAGACTCCTCGGCACACCACCTTCTGCCCCCGCCATACCCTGCCGTGTGGTGCTCTAGTCTCCTCGTCTCATTTTACGCTCCCGGCAGCTTTCCTCTCTATATCGTCATCTAGCACGAGCTCAACCGTTGGAGAACTTCTCCCCCCCATACCCTAGGGAATCTCAACACTACGTCGTCTCACATACACGCCACGATTCGGCAATGGGAGTGTACTCTTCCCAAACACGAATACCAGACTCAACCATCCAAGTTTCCCCTGCATCCTACCTTGCTAATGTCCACAGCCCTCTTGCGCCGCCTGTCAGCCTCGCGGTACGGCTCGGGAGCTCTTCGAGCCAAACCAACTCTTAGACATCGGTCTTACACCCCAAACTCCAATCCTGCCCGGCCCCGGTTGGCCCCTGCCCCCATGGTATCACGCAATAGCACTACGCAGTATGGCTTTCCAGCTACGCCCCTAGAACATAAGCCCCACCAGGATATGCAGCTCACCTGCATCACCTATGTCCCAAACACTCATCGCCACAACTTCTATCCCAGGCCGTGGACACGGACGTCCTCCCGTGCCTCCTCATCTATGCTCGTCAGGAACTTCAATTCGGTCATCCTTCCCATTGTCAGAAACCGCCCACTTAAAGACCACGAATGAAGAGAAGGAGCTTCCTTCGCCAAGCTCATGGAAACTCACACGCTAATCGATACATTCCGCGCGATCCACCCCACTCCTGCCGGCGTCTTCTCCTTCTTTGGCAGGCAACGCCACAACACTGTAACCCCGCCTACATCCTCCCGCCTGGACAGGATTTACATCTCCCGAACCCTCCTCCACCGACTCTCCTCTAGCCAGTACCTTCAAACCTGCGAGACAATCACTGATCACCTGTATGCCCCTCTCTGCCCGCTCTACTTCATCAACCTCACAATCGCTCCCCGTCCCTGGCGACCGCGCCAACAGCCACCCATGCGCCCCCGCGTTGCACAAATTATTGACACCGCCCTTAAGGTCTTCCCCTCCTCCCCTTCCCCGGAATCCTGGGACAGATGGAAGCGCGACCTCACCCTAGCCTTCAAAAGCTTCTCCAACCTGGAAAGACGTCGTGTCGACAACGCGATTGTGCATCTGGAGCGCACCATTGGCTCACTACAGCTGCAAGCAGCGTATACACCCTTGGACCAGGATGAGTCCTCCCGCCTAAGCCGAGCTCGGCTACATCTGGCCAGATACGAAGCCTCGAAAGCCTCCGAAATTGCGCTCAAGGCCAAGCTCAAAGTGGAAGGGCATAGAGAAATGGGAGTTTCCTCCCTCCTCTCCGGACTCAACGCACGAATCAAAGGCTCGATCATCAACTCCCTGACCCTCCCTAACGGACAGGCAACCTCGGACCTCTCCACCATGACCAACATGTGTTCCATCTTCTTCCAGAACCTATATAACGAGAGCAACCCTGTTACCCCTAACCCATCCTTCTGGCAGCATATCCCCCCCTCTTCCATCCCGAACCCCTCATTCCTGCGGCTTAGCGCCCCCCTGTCCCTAGCCGAAATCGGAAAGGCCCTTCTCTTCCTTTCACGAGGAAAACCCTCTGGTCCAGATGGACTCCCTGGAGAGCTCGTCCGACAGTTCTCCCCGCGTTTCGCACCTGCTTTTCACTCCCTGCTCTCCCCATCTTAGCCACTCCCCCGCCTCCCCCCGTCCATGCTGACTGGACGAACCGTCCTTATCCCCTAAAAGGGGGATTCTTCTCTGGTGGAAAACCTCCGCAAAGCCTATGACCTCGTTGATAGGCCTTTCCTCCTCCAAGCCTTATCAGTCCTAGGGCTCCCCGCCCCCTTTATCCACTGGGTCTGACTAATGCACTCCGACACGCATACATGCATTTCGATTAACAACATGCTCGGCCCCACCTTTCCCGTCCGCACTGGTGTTCGACAAGGCTGCCCTTTGGCCCCATTGCTCTTCGTTTGCGTCATGGAGATCTTCCACCGATACATGTCCCTTTTCCTTTCCGGCTTTACCCTATCCTCCACACAGCGCCGCCTCATGGCTGTTATGTGATGCTATCACTTGCATTCACGTCTGTCTGCCTCCCATCACATGTTCGTGCGTTGCATACGTGGTGTGAGCGTGTGCAAGAATTTGTGTTTGACGTGGTTTGGTTTTTCTGAGTGTGTGTGAATGTTGTTTGGCTTGAGCAGATATGTGAAGTGACTCCTCTGCTCAACAGCTTTCCGACGAACCAAGTATCGCTTCAATCGGAGCACGAACAAGAAAGTTACGAACGTTGGAAGTTCGTATGCCATTGATATTTGGTTGTGGTGACTATGGGAAGTTGTGGGGTTGACTCCATAAGGGGTATAGACTTTTGGGGGTTGGGAAATTCGTCAACATCACTGTAGATCCTGCCAAGTGGTTGGGAGGAGCCAAACCAGGTTGGCAAATGTGGCCAAGTTGGGCAAGGTGGATGGCATGGGTTGGAAAGTGACAAAAGTAAAAGTGGGGTTCCTATAGGGAAGGGATTTAGTGTGCTTATGGGGTTTCCTTGGTTGGGGACTCCTTGGGGACCTTCCCTCTCGTCCTCCTCTTCCCTCCCACCTGGTTAATTGCCACTCTAACTTCTTTGTGTGGTAATTGTGAGACTCTTATCATTGAGTTAAGTTCTCATGGCAGCATACCCCCCTGTGTGCCGAAATTGATAAGTCAAGATTTACTTCACCTCTTGATACGATTCAAATTGGGAATTGTAGCCACGGACTAGGGCTACAATATATTTGAGTTTGGTGAAGTTTTGACTGTGAACTTTTCGTCGACGGCGTTTCTTGTGAGCGCGACTATTCTGTCCAGAAATTGAGACCAACGATTTTGTGATATTTCGGCTCCTAATCTTCATAGACTCCGTCCTTAGTCTCTAACAATGGCATGCTACACGGACGACGTCACTCTCTTCCTCACCTCCGACACAGAGCTCGGTTATGCTGTAGTGCTGCTTGGCGTCTTCGGATTGGTCTACGGTGAGATCCCCAACTGGAACAAGTGTTCCATAATTCCTTTCAATATTCCCAATACTGACCTTGTACACACCGGGATTATCCCTATCCGAGCTCCCAATGAGGCAGAACGCATACTCGGAATATACGTCGAGCGTCTTCACCCAGGCTCCACCACCTGGAACAACGCTCTTGCCCGCATACAAGGCGCCGCCAAGTTCGTGGCAGCCTTACATGCCACATACACGTGCCCTTCCAGACACAATGAAACGCATGGATGTGTCAGTTGGGAACTTCCTCTTGTCCTTGAAACACAAACAAGATGGCCTTGCACAACGCCTCATCTCCAAAGCCCTCTTGTACAACTCCCCGCAAGACGGCGGGGTCGGGGCGATCGCCCCGTCTACACAAGTCAAAGCTCTTGCAATTCAGCGCGCCCTGCGCAGATTCGGACCAACCCCCTCTGAGGAAGTAGCATGTACCCTGACCTCGTTCCCCTTCGGGCTACACGGTCTACTCTCCCATAAAGCCATCCTCGAACGGGACTATCTCCCCACATTCATCCCCTCTCGGGCACTGGATGAACTTATAACCTTCCTCTCCCTTCCCCTCGTCATTCATGGCCCCCCATGCATGCAGTGCATCCTCACCGAACCTATCGCCTTCAACCGCTCGTCCCTCAAAACCGACAAACGACCCTTTGGCACTCGCCAACACGAGTGTTTCCTCCTTACAAGGCAGCTCCGCATCGGACACATTGTCCGGATCACCAGCTCTCTTGTCGGCCCCATCTCTGCATAAGAATTCTGCTCCCAAGTCCCAGAAGAGTTCCACAAAGATGCAACACGCATCCTCCCAGACCTTATCAAGGCTATCAAACCTCCCTGTTGGGCTGCCCTCCGAACCCCACACACCTCTTCTGCCTCTCCAGGAGACTGGTTCATGCATTCGGATGACCATTATTCCATCTCTCATCTCGCCCTCCAAACTGTTGCCTTTATCCCCCCCTTCTCCGTCTCGGCCTCTGTCCACCATGTCTCACCAAACAAGCGCATTGGCCGCACCCCAGCAAATACCGGACTCTTTCGCTTACAAGACCTCGTGGAGGTGCATGTCAGGGACTGGTGGCTCGCACGGCCACTTCATACAGGGGCAGGGCTAGGAGCTAGGGTAGAATTTCTCCAGGATGGCAACCCCAGCATCGCCGACATCCGCCGTCTCCTCTACTCAGCACAACCGCTAACGCGTCACCTCCGATGGACCCGCGACCTCACCCTTCCTCCTCCTCCTCTCCCTGGCCTTAAGGATTCATTTCTCAGGGACCAGCCGAGCCGCCAGCGGGACATCCTTTTCAGACTGTACACACTCACCCTTCCTTCAGGGTCACGCTTTCAATACTTTGACGACCGGGGGATCTGTTCTCGATGCCCAGCCGTCGTCGTCGAGACACTGCCGCATATCTTCTTCGAATGCCCCTCCGCCAGAAACGTCATCTCGGCCCTCCGCACAGTCGGAGACCGCCACCTTGGAAAAACCACCACCGCGGAGCACATATTCTTCCCGTTACAGTCACGGGTGGGACAGTCCCCCCCATGGAGCCTACTAGTGGGAGCTGCAGTTAAGACGTTGTGGTACGCTCGCTGCGCCCACAGGCACCACAAATCCTCCTCCTCGAGCT